ACCAGTAGGAAACAAGAAGAAGAAGAAGCAGCGTAGCCCATAAAAACCAGACCAGCAGCAGTTTCTAGGTCTGCTGTATGGACCAGTTTGCATTTAGAGGGAAGCACATGTTGGAATTAGCTCTGTTTCCTCTCTGGCAGAATCTCACCTACTTTAACCTCAGACTGTCACAGTAATGGATCACATGTCACACTGCTTTTTTCTTTCAGTTTTAACCCGACTATACAAGACATAATAGATTTTCCTAACAATCAACATATACCGAACCAAACCCTAAACCGTGACCACGAAACCGTGAATCCAACCGAACCGTGGATTTTGTGAACCGTCCCACCCCTAGTCCCTATAGACCTTGAAGGGGCGGCCTTAGATGATAGCGAGACCCTGACCTACTAGTAGACCAGGTCTGGTGCATGGACTGAGGACCCTAACCCACTTAGGGGTCTCTTTTAAATTCAGTCCAACCCCGAAATCCACCTTTAAGGGGTTTCAGCCCTCCAGAGTAAGCCTTTTGTTCTAGATTACCAACGTAAGGCCTCAGGTTTACCATGACCTGCATCCAAACAGCCAGTACAGTTGGGTAGAACCGTTCTGTGTTTGGGTTCTCCTCAGGGAGGGGATGGAGGAGATTCTGCCCGGAGATGCTCACCATCTGGCCTCGGAACGCCTTTACGTCTCCATAACGCACTACAAAAGTGGCAGAAACCACCTCGTGTCCAGGTTTGACTCGAGAGAGGAACTCCTAAAGGTAACTTTAGGTCCTTTTAAGTTCTAGATCTTTCTCCAACTCAACATGGGTCCCTCTTTCTCCAACTCAACATGGTTCTTTCTAAGTTCTAGACCTTTTTCCAACTCACTATGGGCCTTTTTAAGTTCTAGATTTTTCTCCAACCCAACATAGGCCCTTCTAAGTTCTAGATCTTTGTCCAACTCAACATGGTTCCTTCTAAGTTCTAGATCTTTCTCCAACTCAACATGGGTCCTTCTTTCTCCAACTTAACATGGTTCCTTCTAAGTTCTAGATCTTTCTCCAACTCAACATGGTTCCTTCTAAGTTCTAGATGTTTCTCCAACTCAACATGGGTCCTTCTAAGTTCTAAATCAGGGGTGCTCACACTTTTTCAGCATGGGAGCTACTTTTGAAATGACCATGTCAAAATGATCTACCCATTATATTTATTAAGAAATATATTGAGGATTCTTACAACTTATGTCGATTTATAACCACATATGTGAAAAAAAAGTCCTCCTCCCATTCTGTATGAAAGTGATACGTGTTTTTCTTCTTACTTGGTCCAGATCCCCCACTCATTTTCATAACCTATCTTACGTTTAAGAGGAAAAAACAAGCAAAATATTAGGATGTAACTACGGACTAGCTTGTTAGCTTAGCTGCGCACAGAGACCTAATTGTACGGGAAAAAATCTGATGTCATCTGACTGGTTGTCCTGTGTATCAATCAAGAGACGGGACGGCTGATAGGCTGACGTCTAGTTTTTATTCAAAACAACTCAACTTTATTTGTATAGTGTCAGTTCATGACAATGTCGCCTCACCTGGTCATGTGATCTACCGATAGTATCTGGAGATCGACTGGTAGATGGCGAACGACGTATTGAGCACCCCTGTTCTAGATCTTTCTCCAACTGAACATGGGTCCTTCTAAGTTCTAGATCTTTCTCCAACTCAACATGGGTTCTTCTAAATTCTAGATGTTTCCCCAATTCAACATAGGCCCTTCTAAGTTCTAGATCTTTTTCCAACTCAACATGGGTCCTTTTTTCTCCAACTCAACATGGTTCTTTCTAAGTTCTAGATCTTTCTCCAACTCAATATGTGCCCTTTTAAGTTCTAGATGTTTCTCCAACTCAACATGGGTTATTCTAAGTTCTAGATCTTTCTCCAACTCAACATGGGCCCTTCTAAGTTCTACATTTTTCTCCAACCCAACATGGTTCCTTCTAAGTTCTAGATCTTTCTCCAACTCAACATGGGTCCTTCTAAGTTCTTGATGGTTCTCCAACTCAACATGGGTCCTTCCAAGTTCTACATCTTTCTCCAACTCAACATGGGCCTTAAGTTTTAGATGTTTCTCCAACTCAAAATGGGTCCTTCTAAGTTCTAGATGTTTCTCCAACTTAACATGAGTCCTTCTTTCTCCAACTTAACATGAGTCCTTCTTTCTCCAACTCAACATGGTTCCTTCTAAGTTCTAGATCTTTCTCCAACTCAACATGGTTCCTTCTAAGTTCTAGATCTTTCGCCAACTCAACATTGGTCCTTTTAAGTTCTAGATCTTTCTCCACTTGGTTTGTTGACCCATAAATGAGGTTCCTCTGCTCCTCAGGTTCTACTGGCCAGCAGCTTTGTTCCTGTCTATGCTGGACTCAGACCGGTGGAGTTCAGAGGAGAGGTAAGGAGCTCTGCTCAAGTTCTTTGGCCTAATAGT